TTATTCTAAGATTTTATATAGAATACAAATCTACAATTAGCTGAATCAACACAGGTGGAGAGGGGGTGACTCTGTACTCGACAGGAGGCACACTGCAAGCCTACAGGAATGGCAAGCAGTGACACTGGTGCAAAAATAAAAAGGATCACGAGGCAGAACAGAGCTCAGAAGCAGGTCCTTCCATACACGAACTGAACAGGTTGACAAAAATGGGGCCACAAACTGGTGGGCGAGGGTTTACTAAATGGTTTTGGGGGAAAGTGCCTCAGAACAAAGAAGACAACAGATGGCTTACAAAGGCTTTGTGAAAGTCTGGGAGTAGAGAATATAGGAGGAAACCTCTGGTCTAGAGATAAGGGAATACTTTATAAGCCTTCTAAAACACATTTCTCTCTCCTTTTCTCCTTTTTGAGACATGGTCGTACTATGTAGCTCAGGTTAACCTCAAATGCAGACTCCTCCTGTTCAGTAGCGGATGTCATACACAAAGCTAATTATGACATCTAAAACTGACAAGAGATTAATATCTACAAAGAAGACACATAATGCAGTCGAAAAACAAGCAAAGACGAACAAGCAATTCACAGAAGGGGAAACTAACCAAAGCCTTGTTTGTGGTAAGAAGGAACTGATGACAAGTAGGTGTCCAACCCTGGGGTGAAGGGGTCAGCAGTTTACAGAAGGGTAGGATATACATTAGGGACACTGATGCAGCAGAACGCAGCACCACACAAGCACACAGAGCAATGTGGATAAATTGTGGACAGTGGAAAAAGCAGGAGACAATTTATAGCACAGTATTGATTTTTATAAATTAAAATGCAAAATAACACTACTTGTGAAGATGCATGCACAAAAGGGTACATATCGAAAAAGAGAAGGTGCCTGCAGGATAGAGCAGTGTGGGGTCGGGGACTAAGGAAGGAGGGAGGGACCTAGTGTATAACCAAGGCATGGAATGCTTCTGTACTGACAAATGATGAGTGTGCTATGATCTGAGGCATAGGAGGTACAATAAAGTAAGCACATTATAAATCATGCATGCTTACATGTAGTTTGGAACTACAGTAGCGAACTGGCTATGAAGCAAGAGACTGAGGCCAGCAGTGGGCTACCTGTGAAGCCTGATGCTTTGGATGTCAGATGGAAACCTGGACTTCAGTGATTAAGGGTCACTAGACAATACTTCACTTACACCAGGGTAACCTTGGAAGACTGCTCGGTTCTCCCCTTACTTTGTAAGTTAGGATTCCTGTCAAGAGGATGAAAGAATTATAACTGGGTTTTATCCGTGCCTATACGCTAAGCAGTGATTACAGCAGATTTTACCAAGACTTGTGTTTCACATCCATGTTTTGGAAACAAACAGAAACAAGAATATGTAAGCATTTAAGAACCAAAAAGACAGGGAAAAGAACAAACAGCCATAGCTCCCATTTATAAGCTCTTTAGGATGTGCTAGGCATCCCCCTAGGTGCTTTCCATATGTTGACTGAAATTCAAATATTCTTACTGAGGGTACCGCTACTGTATGGGTAAACAGTCTCAAGAAGATAGAATCTTGTCTGAAGTGACCCAGCTTCATTGTGGAGCCATGTGAACCCAAGACTGTCTAATGACTTGTTCTCCTTCACAGTATGCCACCCTACTAGTGAAAAGGCACTAGGGAAACAGTGAAGGGATACACATCAGGACACAGAAGAGGTAAACATACACAGGACAAGTCATGTCAAGGCACATGATGATGACACACACGTTTTTGAGATGACCCTCACGACAGACACCTTATAAGAGGCTGCCGCCATTGTCCTTTGAAAAGCACGTGATCTCTTACAATGTAATCCAATTCTTGGAGAACCCAAATCTGCTCTTGTGGTAGTAGTTCCAATTTAATGTGTGCGCATGTGCATGTAGGGCAAGTTCCTGGGGATTGACTCCACGGCCTTATGCTGATGTCAGGCAAGTCCTCTACCAACTGGGTTATATCTCCAGTCTTAAAAATGTGCTTCAAGGCCGGGCGTGGTGGTGTACTGCCTGATCCCAGCACTTGGGAGGCAGGGCCATGCGGATCTCTGTGAGTTTCAGGCCAGCCTGATCTACATAGCAAGTTCCAAGCCAGCTAGAGGTACAGGGAGACCCTGTCTCAAAAAAAGTGCTTCAAACCAAAGCTTATCTAAATCAGGGTCTAGTACAGCCAGGCCTACATGGTGAAATGCTATCAGAAAGAGAGAGACAGAGAAAGACACAGAGAGATTTTTTCTCAGATTTACATGATCATTAATCATGTAGGCTGAAATGAACTTTCAGCTGTTTGCTAAACATGCATATATAAAAGATGGTGTCTTTTTACCTGAGACAGTAATCTAAGTACCATCAGTAAGAGAGATCACAACTGTAGAATTTTATGCAATTGATAAAAAGAAATGGAGAAACTTCTATATACTGATGTGGAATAATTTCCAAGCTAATTGAAAGACAGTTGGTTACAGGGGCTGGAGAGATGGTCAGCGGTTAAGAGCACTAGTGGTTCTTGCAGAAGACATGGGTCTGGTTCCCAGCACCCACATGGCAGCTAACAACCATCTATAACTCCAGTTCTAGGGGACTCTAACGCCCTCTTCTGACCTCCAAGGGCATTGCATGACACAGGTGCACTTACATACATGCAGGCAATAGTACACTTTTAACAAAAGAAAGAATGATGAGTACAGTACAGACAGTGTGTATACCAAATTTAGATGGAATAATCACAGTCACACTTCTGCTTAAACACAGTTGCTCTGGGGAAGGAAATGGCAGTTAAGGAAGGACCAGCTCTGCATTCATTCTATACCCACCTACACCCATGTATGTACTTTGGACTTTTTTTCCCATTTAGTGCAAGGATGATCTCTTTAAATTAAAAAAAAATAATGTATCTTAAATCTAGCAGAGCACCCTGTTCTCTAAACCCAACCCAATTTTGTGATCTGGTAGGGTCTGAGCAGAATAAATACATTTTCTTTTCCTTCTCCCAGTGAGATGGAAAAATCTCCCATTTTTTCTCCCTCTCTTCAAACAAGTCAAACATTTTTTCCCCGTCTTTTTGAGACCGAAGTCTCCCTGTAGCCCTAGCTGGCCTGGAACTTCCTATGTAGACTAGGCTAGCCTGGGATATCACAGAGATCCTCCTGCCTCTGCCTGGGATTAAAGGTGTGTCCCACCAAACCCAGCCTGTTTGTTTCTTAAAACACTCTTGTAATCCATCTTCACTAAGGATATATATTTAAATGGAAAAAAGAAGACACATATTCATACCTTTCCTTCTCTTTTTCAGACAGGGTCAGGTCCTGAGGCCTTGGCTAGTCTCCACGAGCCCCTGACCACTGAAATCACAGATGTGCACCGTTCTTCTTAGTCTACAACTTTTTACTCTAAAAAAGCTATTTTGATTTTTTTTTCTTCTCTTTTTAGATAGGGTCTTGGGGAGCCTTGATTGACCTCAAACTCACTATGACTCTGAAGATGACCTTGAACTCCAGCCTCCCAAGGGCTGGGATTTACAGGCATGCACTGGCACACCCAGCTTTTGATCATTTAAAAAATTTACCTAACCAACCCTATCATGTTAGCTTGCTCCAGTTTTACTATTATGTGCAATGTTGTAAACTCACTTGTGCCCAACCTCTGCATTTCCCCCTTAAATCTGTAAAAGCAAAGTACCTTTGTCACCAATTTTTAAAAACCTGGCTTCCAACTCCATCAGACCCTTTTCTTAACCAGTCATTTTCCATTTTGTTGCCTCCACAGTGAAGAGTAGAACATACTTCTTTGTTTAACATTTTCCCACCTGGTAACACTTCCTTCTACATACCAGGTCCTCATTCAGGTCTACCCTAGAGAATTGGACTTACCACTTATTTCTTCTCTATAAACTATTGGCTTATTCTGAACTCCTTGGCTGACTTTTTCTGCAAAAAACAATTTTTCTTAGTTTCCTTTTCATGTACAGAATAAGTGGTTAAACAAAATTATGCCAGGTACAGTGGCACAAATCTGTAATCTCAGAAGTTAGGAGGCAGAGGTAGAAAGGTCGTAAGTTCAAGGCTAGTATGAGCTACAAAAAGAAACCTTCCCCCAGCCCAAATTAGTATATAAATAGTAGTTACTGTTTATTTAATGCTTGTGTAAGACATTGTGTCAGGTCAATATTAGATTTTTTTTAAATGCCCTGATTAACAATGAAACCTTTAATATGTCAACATTATCCACTGACAAAAGGATGATAGCATGGGAAATATGACCATGACATAGTCAAATTATTTACCTCAGGTGATTTTTTTGGGGGGGGGCATATTAAGAAGCATCTCCAAAGGCAGTAAGAAAAGCAAGAACCCACAAACCAGTCTTTACCTGTTAGCTCAAAGGCACTTAGTAGCTGACCTTCCCCATCTGAAATTCTTAGACCTTTCATCTTCACAAGACATTGACATTACACAGTTTAAATGAGAAAAAGCACTCAAATCATACTTCATATTTGAGGTGTATGTTCTTTTTTATATGTATTCAATACACACATGCCACATGCCCACAGAAAGGATTTCATGAGCCTGCATTCCAGGACTCCCACCATCTGCCTTCCTCAGTCATTCATATATTCACCTCCCAGTAGACCAACTTCCCATTCACTCCTGACTGCGAATTCCTGCCCTGCCCTTGAAGGCACCTAAAGCTTTATCCACTTCACAGAGACATTGTTCCAACTCCCCTTCTCTGCACAGAACTCAAATGTACGGTAGCAAGGGACCATACTTTTGTGAAAAAATTAGAATGATTCTTTTTTTTTTACATTGTCAAGTGATTGAAAATTGTTTAGGAATACAATGAATGGGACTGTGTCCATTCCTTCTGTACCCACAATGCGTAGTGTAATACAGTGTAATACAGACCATAAACTCAACCTCTGTTGACAGAGTGGAGCATTCAAATCCAAGTTAACCCAGTAAGACAAGAAACACAAGTCATATTTACATTCCTCTTTATTTAATACAACAAACACATAACATATACAAAAAGAAAAAAACACTCAATGTAAAATGCCCTGTCATAAAGGATAGACAGGAAACATCTACTCTGAATCAAATAAGGCTCTTCCTTCAAAATGGGTTTTCCAGCCACACCTGGAATATGAGCAAGGCTGTTGCAAAGTAAGATAAACAAAAATCCCTGCACCGAAGGAGTAAATCCATGGGTTCAATTTGCTAAATTCACAGATCAAAATTTAGGAATGTTTATGCTCTCGCATAGCCAAAATTCATTGGAGTATTATGAAATATATGAGGCCTTTAGTTGTTAAAATTTTTTACCTGTCCTTTTTTCTTAGGAGTTATAAGAGCTCTAAAAACCAGAAACCAGCAAAGGCTTTAGCATCAAAGTTTAAAGGACATGAGAATTAGAAACGCAAAGGTAAGATGCCAGTGGGAAGAATTTAACTCCTAGGTTATTTCCTGGTAACTAGCACATAATGGACCACTGGGAAAGACAGGATGAAAATGCCTCTGTGCTCTCAGTGCAGGGTCACTAGCAGCAGTCTGTCCATATTCCTGCTCTGAGCTGAGCTAGAAATTAAACAAGCACCAGTTTGTCTCAGAAGAGCCTCACACACACATACACATACACACACACACACACACACACACACACACCATTCAAATGTCATCACCACCCCCTTTTATTTAAATTTATTATTATTTTCTTTTTTTTACTAAAATAATACAAAAAGGGGAGACAAGTATATTTACAAAACTCCATGGCTGGTACAGTACATAATTTTTAAGACACACTAAATGCTACAATCTTTCAGGTCCTGAGATTATTACAAATATCAACTCAAAGCTTGTGTTCAGGTCCAGTTTTGAGAGGGGAAAAAAAAATCCCAAAATATTGTCATATACTTAGTTGAAATACATCATATTCCTTCAAGTTAGCAAAAACACACCTTCTACAGGCAGATGCAACACAGTAACTGGGGCCTTTCACCTACAGGACCATCAGCTCCTCAGGCTCCTTGGAGACCTGCTTGCAAACAGGGTAGCATCTGTGGAGGGTTAGAGGTGGTAAAAGAGGAACTGTTTGCCTGGTGGGAAGTGCCTTTGCAGAACAGATATTCTCTGTGTAATATAATTCAGTTTTTCCTTCTGCTATTGGTCTTCCCCTTATCTAAACTCATACTCTAAGGGTTGGAAATATGTGCTTATCCAGACTAAAAAATCAGATGCACGCTTCCCAGTTATAGCAAACAGTCTGTAGTTTGATAATTTTTACAACCACAAATAAACCTTGCTCATAATTAAAGAGAGAAAACAGCCATCACTTAGTAACCTTGGTTAGACTTTAATCCATTATTTGAAGCACAAAATTTTCACCAGCCAGGGATTTATTTTCCCCTTCTTTATAGCTTGATAGTGTTTAAAAAAGCAAAACCATGGGAAAGCCTCAAAGAATTCTCTTTGTAGAACAATTTAGTATTTCTGATAATTTTTAGAATAAGACAATTTTTCAGTGACAGTTGACAAAAGGTCAGTGCAAAACCTGGCTCTTCTCTAGAGGCTAGCCATGCACCAGAGGAAACTGGGTAGGAGGGGAATCTACCTCTCCTGAGGGAAGGTCCCTGATTATCACTGATTATCACAACACATTAGAAGGTAAATATAATCCACCATGCAGGCAGAGTCAAAATGTGAAGAAAGCTGAACAAAGTTGGCTAACTTTCTAATTATATGAATAGAAATACCTTTGTCAACTGACAAGAATTTATTTTTCTTTTAATGCTGCTAGCCTAAATTAGGGGAATCCTTAGTTATTTTGCCAGCATGGGAAAAGAAAACACAATTTTCCAAGAGAGGGCATACTACCCCTGCAAACAGTAGAAAGAAGCAAAAATGGAGGAAAGTTTATAGTTGTAAGTATAGAAAACACAAGATAGATGTGATCATTTAAGCACAGGTTGTCACAGAGAAACTTGTCAACGGGCTGGTCTTGATTGTTGTTGACACTTTTTGCTGTACTGTGAAGATAGACAGACCTGATAACTTCAAAAACTTCTAGTATTTCCAAGTTATTTTGGGTAAGTCATCTTATTTGTATTTCAATTAGATTTCCATTAGTGCGCTATCAAGTATCTAAACACCAGACTTAGGATAAAACAGAACTATATTATAGCAAAATGGGAGCAAATAATATATAGTTTCCAAGGAACATAACATTGGTACTAAGGATTCAGTGGCCTGCTTGACTCAGACCTTTGCAAAGGAGCTTTGCTCTAGGGAAGTACGAAAACAAGCAAAGCAGACTATTAGGAGAAAGAAAAGCCCCCAACAAAGGTCTGTATTTCTTCTGAATAATCTTGAGAAGTACCATTCAGGAGGAAACCATGAAATATGATACTACCACACAATGTAAAATATAAAACAAGATTTATAGTTGTTGTTTTGCACTGCTGGGTATGGACCCCAGGGCTTTGCACATGCCAAGCAAAAGCTCTGCCACTGAGCTATACCCTCAGCCTACAAAATTTACTTTTTAATGCAAATAAAAAGTGAAAATTCTAGTCACCAGTGATCACCACTGATGACACGAAGTCTTAGACTACGTGGACATCCTTCCTTACACTACTGAGATCTCAAACTGTATTACTGACCTGTTTGGGTAGTAGTATAAAAAGTGTACAAAGTCTGAACACTAACTTACTCTTAAATGGAAATACATCGGAAAGATTGAGAAGTAAAAACATTACAATATAAGGAAATTAAAGACCATAGATTGCTACTTTAAAGCAAATGGTATTTTGAGAGTGTGTGAGAAAAGTGTGACTTAGGCTAGTCAAAGGTGTCTCTACTAAACTCTAAAGAAAATCTGCCTGTATCCTCTGCTGGATGTGAACTGTCCCCTACACCACAGGAGCTTGATGGGGACAGGACAGATGGCAAAGGGAGTGGGAAGAGGTTCTGATGACAAAGTGCTCTCTTTCCTCCCCAGATCTAACAACAATCAGCTAATGCTATAGTGGAACAACTGGCTCATGCATGGCTACAAGTTCAAACCAAAGGAAAGGATGAGGACAAAAGGAAAAACAGCAAGAATCCAACATTAACAGTCAGAGCTGTTTTAATCTGAGTCTAATCCATCTGTTCAGCTCTATCAACCTGAATCTAAAACTTCTCAGACTTGAATACTGGGATGACTTCATTATAAAAACACAAACATTCCATGACATCAACTACAGTCTGCATGGGTAAAAGGATCTTCAGTTAGCTTTTGAATATAAAGTTCACATTTTAGGGCAGATGAACACAAAAGTTATGTCTATTTTAAGCTTCTACTTATAGTCCCCAGAGGAAACAAACACACATTCAACAAAACCCTTATGTTTTATTTCTTTGGGTCAAAAATCTTAACATTTGTTATTTGAAGGATGAAAAAAAGAGGGAAAATGAAGAGTATGTTTATCTGCATAGTTGATTTTCAGAGGCTACTAACTTAAGGCCTTAGTTGAGCAGGAGGGAAAAAAAAACAACAACAAAAAACCAACAACAAAAATCCCTAAAGTGATTTTAGAAAGAAAAAAAGAACCAAAGAAACCCTAGGACTGAACCAATTCTGGGGTAACCCAGAGGCTCTGACTGTGTAGGCCTAGTGCTTTCTCTTAACTCACTTGAGCTGGATAACTGTTCCTCAACCCCCTGCATCCTTTCCTGACCATGAATATGTGCTATAATTTAAACTCTCTCTCGCCACTAACTAAAAATGAAGTATCCATTTTTCCTGTTGCTACTACTTTAATAAAGGAAATTTTCATGCATTATTACTTAGTATACAGGAATGGAAGGTGAGATAAAATGATCTTAATTTCCTCCTGGGAACATGTTTCCCTCTACCCTGACCATCTCTACCCTGTCCCAGCTAGAATGTGAATGCTGTCTTGCCTCTCCCCATTTTCCTACAACCTGAGCAGCTGATGGCTCCACCTCTTTCATGGGCTGAAGAAGCACGAAGCACAAAGGTAGACTGACTGAATATATACTCCTCAGCCCACGTGTAATGCCTGCCCCTCTAGTGCAGAGCTGGATAAACTGACAGATACAGGAATGGAATGCAGTTGTCTGCCTTACTCTGAGAGAGGTAAAAGTTCAGTTATCTATCATCAAGCAAGTACCATAAAGAAGTTAGATTGACAAGATGGAAAAGGGAGGCTATAACCTTTCGGGATCACTTAACTCCAACAATCAATAATCCAAACTATCTACCTTTAGTTCCACAACCTTCATAGACATCACACAAGCAATATCATAAAAGGCTAAAAAAAAATCAGTTTGTAGTTAAGAAACTTATGTCATCCCCTTTTGCTTTGATCATTTTATCTCACTATAAATATGATATGCTTAAATACCAAGTATGCATCTGAATTAAAATTCCAGTGTTTTTTTTTTTTTTTTAACTTAAAAATCATAGGGTGCTTGTTATAACCTCCATAAGGAAAACATTTTTCCAGCCTCTGCGGGAAGATGATAATACTATCTTATTTATATAGGGCATTTTAGAAAACCTCAAAATATTTTTGAAATAGTAAAGTCTCTGATATCCCTGGGAGGTAGGTGATTATTATACCCAATTGTCTCATGGGTAATCTGAGGCACGAAGGTTAAATGATATCCCCCTAGACACAGAAGCTCAGGAGTTAACACTATTCAATTCCAGCTGCCTGACACCAGCTTTGCTACCAAGAGCCTCTTGTTTCAGCCACTAGTTTCCTCTCCCAATTAAAATTTCATTTAAAAGGGGACCCTCTAGTAGATGTACTGTTCTTGAGGATTGGTTCCCTTAATGTGTCACATCTATTTGTTCTCAGTAAAAGCAGATGAATCTTAGATACTGAAAGTTATGTTATTTTGCTCAAGGGAGAAATATAAACAATCACAAAATCAGAGGAAAATGTCATTACCTGGCAAATAAAAAGACTGAAAACCTCTCAAGTATGTCACAGGTTATATGAGTGTTTCCTCAGTATCTGAAGTCTTTCTAAGTATACTTTAAAAGTATACTCATATTTTAAAAGATATGCATCTATATGATTTCTTAAAAATCATTTTCCAGAAAATATATTTTAATATTGACGCAGGCATTAACTTCAAAGTGTATTTAGATGGCATTCATGGTTCTAGCTAGAGCCTCCACGTGTTCAGTCTTGTCTGCTATAGGGAACATATCAGCTTGACCCGTAAAGACACTGTTATTCCGATGCTTTCTCCTATGCTACCTCTGCCATATCTGCAGGGTCAGAGCAGGGGATTACATCCAGAAATAGTCAATGAATCCAGCAAGTTTATTACACTTGTAATAACCAACACATGGTGGATATATATAATAACCAACATATATCATGTTATGATATATATATTAATTTCTACAGATATTCAAAAGGGGAAGACAGAATCATGTGAAAAGACTATTTCCCAATTTGCCTATTTGAGTCAACTAAAAGCAATGGAATATACAAGGCAGAAGTTTTGCAAATGTTCAGAGGTTGGTGCTTAGAGAGGTGCCGTGGAACAGCAGAGCCTAGTTTTATCTACACACGTTTGTGTGTATCTCATACTTGTGTCCACACATATAAACAGAAGGAAGAGTGTTACAGCATGGCATGATGTTGGCAAGTCTGAGATTCTTTCTCCTGAATCCCCTGACTTATCAGTCTGTACTTGAGGATGTCTGAAAAGAGTTTCAAAAGAGGAGAAAAAGAAAGAAAGAAAAGGCACTTAACAAAGACAAAGGCCTGAATTGAGCATGGTTTAGGAGTAATATAAGCATTTTACCAGAGCTAAGAAATTATTTACAAGGAGTTAAAACTTTTCCCTTAAAATTTTATAAAATAAAATTGCATAACATGTTTGTGATCATTTATCTACTACTGTACTTTTCTTCTGCTTCATTTTTACAAAACTAAAAGCACCCCAAAGCAAAAACAAATAAAAAGTCATACATGCACAAAAGAAAGCCAAAGTGCCCCTTTAGAGAACTGAAGTCAGCAGAAACTACCGTGCTGAAGCACAGGGAAAGTTCTCAAGTTTGGCCTGGATCATAGATTTGTCTCATTTTTCTATTTGCAAAACTAAAACAAAAAACAACAAACAAAGCAAACAAATTCAAAACCTAGATAATAATAACAATCCAGGGACCAGTGTGCGTTTATGGTATACTCCTAAAATAAAGTATCCTATCCTAGTTCTATACATGGGTCAAATTATATGATGAATCTCCTAGAAATAAGAACTGTAGAGTCAAGTCAACCAATATAGGCAAAGCTCATTTTCCAAATGTAGCAGCAAGTATGATGGGGAACTGGAGTTCTAGAGACGACCCGAAGGACAGAGTTCTCAGAACCAATGGCAGTTGCAATAACAGTAGAATTTCCATTTCAGAAAGTCTTGAACCAAGTAGAGGTGGAAAGGGTTGTGGGAGAGGGCACCCAGAGGAGAAAGACTAGAGGTGCCTGCCCTTTCCATCTCTGTGTAGTAAACAAAATTTGATCTGCTTTGGAAAAAAATATCCTGGGTTAAAGATCAGTTTCAATAAGTTGTTTTCAAACAGGTGTCAAACCCACAGTATTCAAACATGTATGTGCCTGGTTCTTCCTCCAACACTGGTGATCCAAATAAACCTTTTTCAGTGTCTATGACACAAAACAATGTAATTTGGGTTAACAACATCCATCATAGGGGTGGTGGGTATGAAAGAATGTACTAACAGAATCATCTTGATCTCCTCAAAGTAATAGGATTTTCTTATTACAGATTAACCTGACTTTTCCCAAAATCTTTTCTCCAGGTTGTTTTAAAATCATGATTTATTACTCTCTGATCTCAGAAACAGGAGGAAAAATGTAATTTTAATAGAAATTATTGCTTGCATTTATTTTGGAGGCTCTGAATGAGCTTGACACTTTGCTCCCAAACAGTCTCCAACTGAGGTCCAGCACTGCTTTCTGAAGACAGTTCCGCTGATCCTTATTGCTTGTGAATACTGAGGATTACCTTGTATGTACAGTAAGAGCTTATATATCAGTGAAGGCAATTTCAAATACAAGACAGTTGGAAACAAACACCTTAATCTTCCTGAATCAAGAATCCCGATGAGTGGGATCTAAGTAAGTGTGCTGATTACTTTTGCATTTGGATGTTGCTAATGTTCTTTAAAGATACACTTTGCTCTACAGATATCCTTTCCAGTTACCATTTTAAAAATAACATAATTGATTTCAAGTGCAAAAATACAGTATGAGTCACAAGTCTCTGATAAAATATAATCAACTTATATGCTTGTTTTTAGTAATAAGAACTGTAAAGACAGGTGACCATAAAGTATGGTCACCATTTTCAATGTTATGATCTAGAAAAGAAATGTTTGTATTTACATATAGAAAGAAGGGTTTTGATTCTTTTGTCTAACATGAAGGGGATGAGGTGGGGATCTGACAGCAGTCCTTAAGGAATTGAGATTGAAGGGAGCAGAATATAATCTCTGTATTAAATTCTCAGAGCCAAGGGCCTTAGGTGTTTTTTTTAAGATGACACGGGAAGAAAATTACTAATCCTATTGTTTTCTAATGATGACAAAGAACCATTAGGGATCTTCATACAACATGGTTCAGAACTGATGGATTTAAGAAACTATAATTAAAGAAAAAGGCCTACCACAGCCAAGCCAGGTAGTATTAGCAAAGATACAAAAATAAGAGGTTCCCAGTGTTGGAATAAATCAAGAGCTGAGTAAGCTTCCATAATTAAGAAACATTTCAAATGAACCTTATTCAACATAGCACATCCAAGTCAAACCTCTCTGCAATGTCCTGGTATCTTCCAAAATATATCTACTAGGGCTCATATAGCATCCATATTTGTTTTTTGTTTTTGTTTGGTAAACTAAATACCTAGAGTCAAGAAATTCTATCAATGATTCCTTTTTTTGTTTGTTTCAGACATGGTATCACTGTCAGCCCAGCCCAGACTGGCCTGGGACTCAGTATGTACTCCAGGCTGGCCTCCTGCTTGAGCCTCCTGAGTGCTGGGATTACACACGTGACCCATCACATCCCGCCTCAATGGTTCTGAAATAATCATTTTTCCTTACTGTAACAAGTTCTTGGAACTAAAGTTTTCAGTTATTCACTGACTTTTTTGCTATGAAGCAAGCCAATATGACTTTGAAGTCAAAATAGAGGCATAAAGATCTGAATAGATCTGTGCTTGCTTATTTATAGTCCTGTAGGCTATTTGGGACTTTTGATTATTAAAGGAAAAGGGGGTCTGGTTAACACTTTTATTTGAATAAATTTAATGGTACAGGGGGATATGTAATAAAAACATGAAAGAAATCTTGGTATTATCAGTCTAATGCTGTTTTTGAGGGGTTAGTCTGTCATCATAACTAGACTAAAGTTACATCATTTAAAGCTTATACCATTCTTGGATATAGTTTGAAAATACTCAGAAGTTTGAAATTCAAGAGATAACAGAATGATGAGGGAAAATAAAATAAAATGTATCCAAAGAGAACTGTAAGTTTTTCCCCTTAGTATCCTTTGTTGCCTCTATTTGTAGTCAGAGGCTGTAATTAAGGAGTCTTAATTACTGTGAGTTTACTCAAGTATCAATACTCTGAGTAAATATTAGTAAAACTTTAAGATTCCAAATGTTCCAAACATTTTTACTGCATTGGATATTGGGAGTAAAACTACAATGTGATTGTTATGAAAGATAATCCCTTGTACATAGTATTCCTAATGTAACTCATCCCTTTAAAAATACCACCTCAAGTTTTTTAAAAAACATTAAGTATATATGTTGTTTGGATTGCCCATGAAGAAGCAGATGGAGTGCACACTTCTGTCTGTGTCTATAAACAGTTCTAATCACCTGAAGTGCCACTAGCTGAGAGAACAGAAAGAGCATTCATTGTGCGGTGAGAACTGGGCGTTCTCAGTTCTTCTTGGTAGGCTGCAAGGGTGTAGAGCAGCAAGCAGCAGCCCAACAACAAAGACTCCCATTTCTCAAGAGAAGAATGTGAACAGAGTCACACTGAGCATCAAGACTAGAAATAATATTAACCAGTCAATACCAGATGTACAAATCACCTGAAGAAAAGAGTTAAGTACCTACTTCTGAATGGAAGATGAAATTGACCCTTTTACAAAAAGGGGATACCCAAATTTTGTCTGTTAAGAGCAACAGGCTCGATTTCTGACTTTTAAAAATCTAGATGATATAGTAATATACATCACTGTGCTAAAATAGCTTTCCTGAAGCATTTTTAGTCCACTGATTTGCTTGGGGAATTGCTACATAATGGAGAAGATTCAAGTTTGCTCAGGATATCTGAGGGTACAATATTCTTCAGCTGCTGTTTGGACAGGGTCATTCAAACCTGCTACACTGTCCACTTACAAAGACATGATCATGTCTCCTGGTAACCTGGACTAATTCTACTTCTAGTTGCTTTCATTATTCAATTATGTCTAGTGTGTTCAGATCCAACCCCCAGGATGGATGGCTATTACCCAAATCCACTCAACTTTCTCTCCCCCACTCGGGGGGAGGGAGGGGATGATCAAATTTGTACTTCTGTGGGTTTGACAGCTGAGTCTCTTTCAAGTCAGTTAACATGGTAACTCTGTCTTTAAGAGACCAAAGGTCACTAACTTTGCACAAAAGCATTTCTTCCTCCTGCACCTGGCTTTGCTCAAGTAACATTTTCTTTCCTTTTCTTCCTCACCACAGTGCTTGGACGAGAATGTAAACATCGACAGAAACAGCAGCCCTGGGACATGAGGACTTTGCCATCAGGTAGATCCTGTCAGCCAGCCAAATGATTCAGCTCTCTGCTTGCTGGGAAGTCACTGAGATTTCCGTGGTAACTTAGTGTCCCCTTTACTTTGGCCTCCATCTGAGAAAAGAAATGTTAGATTGACATGGTTTGGCATGTTGTTAAAAAAAAAGAAAAACAAAGCAGACAGAATTAGTTTATATATGAATGACATCTTAAAAACTTTACCTCGCCGAGCATGGTGCTGCACGCCTGTAGTGCCAGCACTTGGGAGGCAGAGGCAGGTGGATCTCTGTGAGTTCAAGGCCAGCCTGGTCTACATAGTGAGTTCCAGGACAGCTGGAGCTACAGGGAGACCCTGCTTCAAAAAGACCAAAAAAAAAAAAAAAACCCCAAAAACTTTACCTCACTAACTGATAACATTATATATAGAAGTTGATTAAGCATAAAGGAGGTAACTGAAAACTATATGTAAACTACTTCAAGTGTTTACCATTTATTTACCTCACAGTGGTGATGTCCAATGCTAGATTATAAAGGAACCAGAACATACAATGCTCACCATCAAGGGACCTAGCACAGCTTTTGATTCCTTTGGGAGATAAGGTCTATTTTATTTTCCTGTAAGTGAAATTACATCTGCCAAGATATGGCATTTAATAATTCCCAACTATTATGTAAATGAACCAGCACATCAGTAGTGAAAAATTCTGGTTGTACCTTGGTTTAGAATCTAACCTGGTGGTGAGTGACAGCAATTTGCTACTGGGAAACTTGGTTTCTATCTCTACCAATGTTGTTGCCCTTCACCATTTATAGAGAAAATGTTGATCACCCTATTTAAACCTCAGTTACCTGAGCAATAGTGGGACCCAACAATCTAAAGAGCCAATAAAATACAGAGAAATTCAGAGCCTTAGTAATAAAAATGAAGCCACAAATACAACCCAAGCCTGAGAGAAATATTGGGGAAGGAAACTCTTCAATTTATACTGGGGCTGGAGAGCTGGCTCAACACTGGCTATTCTTCTAGAGGACCCAGGTTTGGTCCCCAGCACCTACATTGTGGCTAACAACCATCCTATAACTCCAGTTCTAGGGAATCTGATACTCTTCTGGCCTCTGGGGGCATTTCACAACACAGGTGTACATAACATACATGCAGGTAATATACTTGTACACATAAAATAAAAATTTTGGCTGTGTGCAGCGGTGTACACATCTTTAATCCCAGCACTTAGGAGGCAGAGGCAGGTGGATCTCTGTGAATTCAGGGCCAACCTGGTCTGCATATGGAGGTCCGGCCAGCTGGGGCTACAGGGAGACCCTGTCTCAAAAAGACCCAAAAATAAAATAAAATAAAAAATAAAATGGGGGGTGCTTTTTTTGAGACAGGGTCTCCCTGTTGTCCCAGCTGGCCTAGGACTCACTATGTAGACCAAGCTGGCTTTGAACTCACAGAGATCCACCTGCCTCTGCTTCTGCCTCCCTGGTGCTGGGATTAAAGGTGAGTGCTGCCACCACACCCGGCCAATAATTTTTTAAAAGTTAAATCAATGCAATAAAATGATTATTTGAAAAGTTGTATAAATGGTACTATTAAAAATAACCATGGTTGCCAGGCATGATGGCACACACCTGTAGTCCCAGCACTTGGGAGGCAGAGGCAGGCGGATCTCAAGGCCAGCCTGGTCTACATAGTGAGTTCCAGGACAGCTCAGGCTACAGGGACACTCTGTCTCAAAAAGACCAAAAAAAAAAAAAGAAACCCCAAAAAACACCATGGTCTTTTCATTTATAATGATATACATCTATACTTATAGAGAAATGATTTGATCTGTGGTATGATTAAATTTATGAAATGGTCAGGCTCTATTAAAATAGGATTTTGTTCAAACTAACTTTGCCCAATTATCAAAATAAAATATTCATATTAACTGAACTATGAAATTCTTTACACTGGAGTTTAGTACAATATGATCCAAGGGTCAAATTGGGACTTCCATCTGTTTTTGCAAATAAAGATTCATGGGAAGTCAGGCACACTCCTTTATATATTATTTATTGCCTCTTTATGTTATAATGATTAAGTAGTTTCAAAAGATCATACGGCCTGCGAAGTTCAAAATATTTACTATTTGGTCCTTTATAGAAGAAGTTTACTAACATCTGTTTTTGACAAGATTAAGAGAATTAAAATTAATGGGTTCTTACAATGTACCATGTATCAGACTAGATACTTTCAATCAATTATTTTTATTAGATTCCCTTAAGAAGCCTATTAAAAACATTTTCTTGTCTTCAGTTTGCAGGCAAGAGAAGTGGTGATTGTGAAGTTAAGAAGTGTGTTCAAATCAGCAGTTCTGTAATTTAAAAATTGTAAAGCAACTAGGGACCTGGATAGCTCAGTTAGTAGAGCATCAGACTTTTGGAAATGGAAGCTGGAATCTCAAGGTCAATAGCTTATATTCTATTTTTAAAGGAAAAATTTAAAACATTAAAAAAAGTAAATATTTTATTATTTTTTAAATTTTATTTATTTTTTATGTGTATGCATATATTGCCTGCATGTAGGTAAGTGCACCCCTGTCATGCAATGCCCGTGGATGTCAGAAGAGGCTGTCGGATCCCCTGGGACTGGAGTTACTGACAGTTGTTAGCTGCCATGTGGGTGCTGGGATTCAAACCCAAGTCTTCTGCAAGAATAACCAGTGTTCTTAACCACTGAGCCACCCCCCCAGCCCCAAAGGAAAAATTTAAAACATTTTAACTTCAGTTATTTGGAAAGTACTTAGTCCTATTTTTCTTGTTTTGGACAGTGGTGTGGACCAAATAAGGTAATTCACACAAGAGCTGGGACACTGGGGCTTTCTGAGTGACAAGAATCCTGTTTATCCACTCCCTGTCAGGTGGTCACATTCTTGTCAATCCACCCCATGAAAAATCCTCAGCTAGATCACAGAGCCAGAAGATATTCAAGCCTGATCAAGTACAGGAAGATCAGGACTCCTGAGATCTATGTCTACCTTCTATTGTCCATTTTCACAATTTTTGTTCATGTTCCTTCTCTCAAGGATGAGTCTTGCGCAACTTACATCAGGCAGTGACCACAGATGACTGACAACCTATCGCCACAAGACTGTTACACAACTCCTATTTACAGTAAACTGATTTAAAGATGTTTTACTTATAATAAAGTGTGTGTGTGTGTGTGTGTGTGTGTGTGTGTGTATGTGTAAGTCAGAGGGCAATTTTTTGGAGTCTGTTTTCTCCTTATACTGTGAGCTCTGGGGATCAAACCTAGATTGTCAGGCTTGCACAGCAAGCACTTCTACTAGCTGAGTCATCTTACTGGCCTTAAACAGTTTTGAATACAGTGGCCAAAAAGAATAGAGAGGTTAGGGCTTGAGAGATGGTTCAGTGGTTAAAAGCACTGGCTGCTCTTGCAGAGGACCCAGTTTCAATACCCAGCATCCACATGGTGGCTAACAACTGTCCAAAACTCCAGTTCCAGGGGAATCTGACAGCCTCTTTTGATCTCCATAGGTACTGTGTGACACAGATGCACTTACATACATGTAGGCAGTACACTCATACACATAAAATAAAAATAAACTATCCTGGAAATGATCTTCAGAATACTTTAGTAATGGTCTATCAAGGTTAAGCACTGGTAGGTATAATCAAGAATCTGAGGTTGACATATACACAGTACCAACCATGCAACACCGGTTTTCAGAGTGGGCTAACAGGACTCCAGACACAAAATGCAGTTTAGTCCATTTAGTAATTTAAACAGTGATAGGATGCAAAAAATGTTTAATGGTTAACACTATATAAACTGACTGAAAAGAAGAGTGTAGCTCAGAGGTAGAATGCCTGCTTTGTGTGGGAAAGACCAACCTCAGCATGAAACAAAACAGAAAGAATAAAGCATCCTGTATTTGTATCTCCAACACTTACTAGTGTACCATGTCTTTCTGATTCAGTTTCCTAACTTCAATGAGAACCATTATCTATTATTCAAAGGCTTGCTGTGTAGCTTAAATTATCTAATACAGGTGTAAGCAAGTCACAAGACTAAATGTCATTAAGTTTTCAATAAATGTAAATGGATATAATTACTAAATATGATTTAAAAAATTATTCGGGAGACAGAAGCAGGTAGATTTCTGTGAGATAGAGGCCAACATGGTTTACATAGTGAGTTCCAGGCCTGCTGGGGCTATGGGAAGACCCTGTCTCAAAAACAAATAAACACCCCCCTCACCAAAAAAATACTACTACTACTTGTGTGTGCATGATATGTATGGGCACACATGCCACAGTGTTTATATGGGGCTTAAGAGACAATTTTGTGAAATTGGTGGGTTCTGGGGATGAACTCAGGTCATCAGGCTTGCTTAGCAAGTACTCTTACCTGCTGAGCCAATTCATCAACTCCTGAATATGGTATCTTAAAAAAATTATTTATTATTTTTATTTTTTTGTGCATGAGTGTATTGCCTGCATGTGTGTAAGTCTGCCTGTGTGGTACAATGACCATGGAGGTGAGAAGAAGGTATCAGATGGAACTGGAGTTAGCTGCCACAGGGGTGCTGGGAATGGAACCTGGTCCTCTTTAAGAGCAGCTAGTTTG